GGGTACAGGGTGCTACAGCGTCGAGACGTGCCACCCGTTAAATACGCCCTGCCTGGCTGGCAGGGCAGTACAACGAACGGGAACAAAAGCAAAACAAAAAAAAGCAAACTCTTCCACACATGGTGGCCAGATACATTCCTCAAAGAATTGCTGCAACTTCCACCCTCGTGAGGGCCTTACAGTTCAAAAAGACCCCACCAAACCTCATTCGACATCCGCGACAAGCAAAGACAAAAAACGTCAAAAAAAACAGTAAAGATAACCCCTTGAACAACCCCCAAGAATCGCCCAAGAGAAGATCAACCCTCCACTCAAAAAGGAAACCCGGTCGCCGATAGCAACAAAGCCCAACGACCGAATGAAACGACCACTGGACGTACACTACCCAAAGCCTAGCACGACCACTCGCACTACCGGTCCGTCTCCTAGCCGCGACCGCACCCTTTGCACTTTTCCCTAAACCCCGAAAAGACCCCACCAAACCTCATTTGACGTCCACGACATTTCCCAAAAAAACAACTACAGAAAACGACAAAAGAACACTCATGGTAAGCGCAACCTCTAGCTGCGAACACGACCGCATTCAGGCACAAGCATTGAGGGACCCCATAGCCCCTACTGGACGTTGCCCCGTACCCAAATAGAAGGCGAGGTTAGCTTAATTCTACTGGTCGAGAGCAAGCAGCATGCAGAGTATGTGATGCAAATTATGGGGGGCGGCTATAGCCTGACCTCATGCAATTATCTGCAGAAGTGATATCAAGGGGTGTTCAGAAGGACACGGGGCAACTTCGACTTACTCAGGCTCTTTGGCAAGCCGACCGGTACTCTAGCTCTCAGGCCCCGCATCTGGACTAAAGGTCGGTCCCCATCCAACCAGGCTACCGCAGGCGCTGTGAACCGGAGGATTGGCGGAATGGAGATCGACGCCTTTTTCCCTGCACCAGGCACCAGTGCCTGGAAGCCCAACGAACGGTTGGTTAACTTTGCTTCTACCTCACGTACGGTAATTCACTCGCAGAACATTCCCAATCAAGGTAAGTAAGCTTGTTCTACTTCCCTACCATAGTTTTCCCTATTGTAAGTAATTCTGATCTCCACCATTTCATTTTCAATCTGCATGAAGACATATTTGTTTACACTTTACTACTTTTAGAACCCCGCGCATTAGTAGCAGTCATTATTCCTCACCCCTACTTTCACTTGCTCAACAGTAAATTTTATCTTTCAGCCCCACTACTTCCAACGTCTCTTCCTTTTCGGACTATTCCAACCGCGGGAATCCGAGTCTGTTTGACTCACTCCTTGCAAAGAGGAAGGGTGCTAACCGTGAACCACCCTTACTCTCAAAAATTTTCCTACTGCTTAGACCCAGCAGCGCGTAACCATTCAAGACCGTCATTCTTCTAGGCCTTTCCAGTACGTACCGACGAAGCCAACCCATTGTCGACCTTCCCAGCGGAATCCTCCTCTCAACCTTCACTCCGACACACCACCCACCTGCAGCGTGCAAACTTGCACATGCGCTCCTCGTGCAACCCCTCACCACTTTACTGTGCTTTTTAGGAGCCAAGAGACCAAGGACCTACCTACCATCGCATTTCCTACCACTGTCAGGAACAACTATCTACTACCGACCATTCTCCTCTTCATCAACCAAGGACGATACTCCATCTCCTACGTGCAGGATGACATCCTCCAACTCTTGGGGTACTTTCTTAGAGCTCATGGAACGTTACTGCGAAAAATGTTGTCTCTCAAACCTCTACTCGGAGAACTGTGCCTTCCACAATCTGTGGGATCGTATCCAATTGGAAGGCGTTAGCCCTTGTCCATGCCAAATCGAAGCATGGAAGAAGTACCAGAAGAAAAGAGCAGCTCAAGCTCATCATGTATCTGGACTCAACCACCTCACCACTCTTTCCTAACCACTACCCCTTCAATCACCAACTTAAACTCTCGGCTAAACTCTACCCCTCATCCCGTTGGTACTCATTAACTTTTACCACGTCACTATAACTCCTTCCCTTATTCTTCTCCCCTTTTTTCGTGTACCTACCACGTCACTATAACTCCTTCCCTTATTCTTCTCCCCTTTTTTCGTGAACCGTCTTCCCAAGTTTCACTCACTATCAACCAACCATTTCAATCCTTAAACCCATCGCTCATTGCCGCATCCGTACAACCTTTTCTCTATTCGTATATTAGCTCGCTACCTTCCCTACCTGTATTAAAAGCTTCAAAAAAAAAAAAAAAAAGGGTGGGGAGGGGGACGAAGATGCGGACGGTCTTCGGATCAATAAGCCTTATTTACGGACGTAAACTTGAAGGTTTTTTGTAAAGCTAACACTTCTGCTCATGTGTAACGAGATTTATCCATTTGTATTCAGGATTGAACCTAAAAAAAAAAAAAAAAAAAAAAAGCAAGGATGGTAGTAAATCCTTCATTCGTGCTAAGTTAATGTTACTCGTGACTCTGGATTGTACCTCACTTCGTCTCAGTAAAACTGCAGATTGGTATTCGCAACTCTGGGTTGGTTCTGAGCACCTTTAATCCCTGTGCTTGTACAACTGCCCCGGAACTCTGGGTTCATTCTGAGCTCCGGTTTATCTCTGAACCTACCTTAACTGCACTTGGTATTCGGCAAATTTCATTGGTTATGCCCCTTCTAGCTTTCGTATGATCTGCTTACTAACCAGGCCAGCAGTCTTAGTA